ATAAATTCGGGCCATTCCCCGAGTCTCATGTCATTGGCCAACCTCAGATTGACCGCCCGATATTCCTCTTCATCCACTTCTACTAGGAAATTCTACTAATTTCTCAGTTTGCGTTGATCTATCTCCGGACCTATGCAGACAGTTCCGAGCATAGTGACCCATTTCTCCACAAACAAAACAAGCACCAGAAAGCACTCTACATGTTTCCCGGTGAAATCTGCCACATGTCTGACATTGATTATTTCTTTCTCCATAAGGTCTACCCGAGCTAACAATAATAAATTAGGATTGTTTAGTTTTTTGTGAAGCTGCAGCAACATCAGCTCTATCTATATATCGGGAACCTGTACCCTTTCCTCTCTTAGCATGGTATGTAGATAAAGACATTCCAATCCTTTTACCATCTGCATACTTTATTCTGCTGCTAGAGTTTCCTCTTGTGCTCTTTCAATAGCCTTAGATCTGTTAATAACTTCTTGTAGGCTAGGCAAGTTCAAGTCCAACATCATCTCTTTCAACTTAGACCTCAGACCCTCAATAAACCAATCCCATCGAGCTTTATCATTAGGAACTATCTCAGTAGCATAACGACTGAGCTTATTATATTCAACTTCATACTCATGAACTGCTCGATCACCTTGATTCATGTTAAGGAATTTCAACAACATTAACCTTATAAGCTTCTCCCCGATATACTTGTTCTTGAACTCATCTTGGAAGAATTCCAAGTTCAATTGTTTAGGTGATGCATACATCATTGTATTGGACCACCACACTCGAGCTGATTCTTAGAGTAACGATACATCTCCACCCAATTTTTCATGATCGAAGTACTACAGACTTTCCAACATAGCCTTAACATCATTCAACCATAAATCAGCGCCCATTAGACCTTCAGATTCTTCTCCCCGGAACTCAGAAGCTCCTAAACTTCTTAACTCCTTAGATATTAACATTTGCGGTGCTAGAGGAGCAGGGGAAGGCGGAGGAGGTTGGAACTATTTCAAGATAGCATCAAGATCTTGCATATCCAAACTCTGGAACAAGCATTTCCTGAGGTACCAGTGCGCTGGCATTCTCAGACGGAATCAGATGTTCACTATTCTCTTCATAACTTTCACTACGCGATCCATATCTACTCTTTCATCCAACCGCTCTTCTCGAATTTGTAGAATCCAAAATCTAGTGTAACATACATAAAGATAGTACTTAAGTTAGTAAGGAGAGACATCTATCATATTCTTTCTATACCCTATCAGTAACCTTGACATCTTAGTGGCGTGTAAACTCTTTTTACATAAAAATACACTCGATTTCAGCCGAGAATCGGCTAAATCTATAACTCTGATACCAATAAATGTAACACCCATCCCCCGTATACCTTTTCGTACACAAGATACAGATGTCACATCACTTTTAAAACAGTTCCTCATTTATAAACCCGTAAAATTTTGTTTCTTTTTATAAAACATTATAATTTACTAGTAATAAAACATGTATTAAACTTAAATATATAAACAAAAAGAAATGTTCAAACACTTCACCATTTTACATCAAGTTAAATCAAATGCTTTTTAGAGCGTTTTTACTAAATCTATTATATACCTAAATACATCAAAAGTAGACATGAATGTCGTACTGTTACTGTTGAGGCTACACTTATTTGGTAATGTATGAAGATCTCCTTTCTCCGATTGTATCAAAACCTACGTGTGAATTCAACACATGTTAAGCAATTTCTTAGTGAGGCATAAATAACTATAAGAAAACTTATAAACATGAATGTAACATAACAATTCTAATATTAAGTAACTCTTTTAATTTATTATAAACCTTATAAATTCACACCCATAGTGTGAATACTGTAATTTACCAACTTTCTATACATGTTCATTTTATTAAGACGCACACGTAGTGCCTATACGGTAATTTATCAACTCATGATGAATTTCATTGGTTGCACACATAGTGCCTATACGGTTGTTCATCAACTCATGATGAATTTCATGGATTGCCCACATAGTGCCTGTACAGTTGCTCATCAACTCATGATGAATTTCGTGAATTGCACACATAGTGCCTGTACGGTTGTTCATCAAATCATGATGAATTCCGTGAATTGTACACATAGTGCCTATACAATTTTTCATCAACTCATGATGAATTTCGTGAATTGAACACATAGTGCCTATACAGCTGTTCATCAACTCATGATGAATTCCGTGAATTGAACACATAGTGCCTGTACGGTTGTTCATCAACTCATGATGAATTCTGTGAATTGCACACTTAATGCCTGTAGTACACATAGTACTGATATACCATTGCAACATACACTTTTAACAACATATATTTATAACTCTTAATGTACAGAATAAATGTAATCACCTGGCTTGCCTCACTATTGTATCCAAAATGCAAAGCTGATTACTCAGGTACTTTTCCATTGCCTTTTGTTTTGCTTGACTCTGGAGCTTGATTTCGATCTACTCAAACATTTATTAAAGAAACATACAATATCAATTGTTAGTATATTTCCTAACAATTATACTTAAACAATACTCAAAAGTACATATTATTAAATTTCTATAACAATCTTAGCCTATCTTAACATTTATGGCTCAATAGTATCGATACCCTACCATGGTATTGATACTACTATACTATGGTACTGATACTCTATTACGATATCGATACCATTTCCGCATTCTGTTATCAATGGTATCAGTACCCTCCCCTCTGTATCGATACTATGTGCACCAGTATCGATACTGCTAAACTAATTCTTCCCATTTTAGCCTATAGTATCGATACTGTTCTATCATTACTGATACCCGTACCTATATTTTCCATTTTTAACCCGATTCTTACTCAAATTTGGTCAAATTTCCTTATATTTACACCCAACAATACTATTAAACTCTTCTTCACTTATTCCTACTTACTTTCCTTCATTTAGCTTCTTAAACGTCTAAAATCTCCCAAGAATAGATCAATCTAAGAATCACACCACTTTTTCTACCATGTTTTTAAACCTATTCAATGCTTCTAATCTTTTTATTTCCATATTTGACAAGTCAAATATACTAATAAACATCAGTAAAAACTCATATTCTAACATAACACTCAAAAACCCATTTTCTTCAATCTCAAATATCTCATCCATATCTTAGTTTTGATCCCATTTAATCATTCCATAAGCTTATATCATACTCCATTCTTCAAAAACTAGCCAAAAATGAAAGAAGAAACTAACCACATAAAACTTTACCTTTGTTATGGAGGAGGGATTTTTCCACGGGAAAGAAGAAGAAAAGAGAGATAGCTTTTTGATTCACTTAAATTCCCCTTTTCTTTACTTTAATACCTACTAAAGAAATTGACTTTTAAATTCATTCTCCTTTAAAAGACCAAAATACCCCTTTTACTTATCCATTACTACAATTTAGTCTAAACCACTAATCTAAATCATTTCTCATCTTTTATCATTTAATTCAATAAATCCTCAAATTTTAAATCTTTTCAATAAAGTCCCTAATTTAATGTTTAGTGCATTACAAGTAAACCCTAAAAATCTACCAAAATCAAAATCGTACTGAACCTATAGGAATTCCTAAATAAATGTAGACAAAGAAGAAAATGACCTCTATAATTTTTCCCTTTATTTTTACAAGAGAAAATTATGCAAACTAGAAATCATGTAGTTAAAATCTATTTTCTTTTCGAATAAAGCATGGGGGTAGAAATCATGTGTGGGTAGCATCTTTATCTTTATCATAATAAGGGTAGAAAACTTATAGGGTAGAATTTACCACCCTTATTATCATACTAACTCACTTTCCTTTTTCTACTATTATTTTCTTTATGTTAGCTACATCACATTAGCATACTATAAGAGGTATTGTTATGTGAATATTCCATCAAAGTTAATAAGCTTCCATTGATGAAGCAAGAGTCTCAAAAGCATATAGTTTCGTACTTAAAGGTTCGGGCAGTCAGAAACAACACATCAAGAATTTAGAGAGAATTTACCACCAATTTTTGTGTCAAGACTAACAAATAAAACTCATCTCTATAGCAAGAAGAATGATTTAAAATATCCTACGAATGTGTGGGATAATTGGGTCGTCAAAACTAGAGAGCTTTCAATGACTCTAAAGTGACATTGTAACTTTGCCTTATGTGATACTAGATGAACCACTACTTCATTCCATGGTTCAATTTTGGAATCTTTGGTACCATTGTTCAACCTTTAATGGACATGACATGGTTCCTATTATTGTAGAATTCATGATGTTGTTGAACATTACAGATATCAAAGGGTACCAGATATACAACAAAGCTACCAAAATTTTGTCATTAAGAGTTAGGCGGATAATGATATTTGGAGTGGAAGAAATATGGATAAATGGTTGTATTAAACATAAATTCAAAAGGGAAGGTATTTCTTGGGTCAACATTCAATAAATTGTCGAGAAACACTTAGATAAAGGGAAGGGGATTGAAGCTTTCGCTCTAGAAATATATAGTTTAGTAATATTTCTGAGAGTTCTAGGGCATGTTGAAGTATCCATAGTAGACTTCATCGAAAATTTACCTAAAGAGATGAAACATGCACCTACAATCCTAGCAGAGACCCTAATATCTCTTAATAGTTACTGGAACATAAAAGGTAGACATTTTTCATACATACTCAATTACTGCAAGTTTGGATTAATAAACATTACTGTAAAGTTCCTCATAGGTCCATTATGAGTTTGTTCATGGTTACTCACCATTGAATGAATTCTTAGAACAAGAATGGCCAAAGACATTTGTAAAGATAGATCATTTAGGATATTCATAAATCTCTAAAATAAAGACATTGTTTGGCATGAACCATGGTTCGAACATTATAAATTCCTGTATAAGTGTAGCAATGATTATTAGGTTAATTTGTTAGGACTCTATGGATGTATTGGATATGCATCGCTCTTAGTAATCAAACAATTCAGAGGAAGGCAATATGCTCTTATGACACATGGATTGAGAGAATCTGAATTCTTATTCCAGATATACCATTACAAGAAGAGGGTATGTGAAATAGATGAATCTTGGAAAGTTACTTTCTTATGCAAGACCATCTTTAAAGATGAAATGTTTACTCTAAATTATGAATCCTGAAGGAGTAGAATAAGAAATAAAATAGTTCAAGAACTTACTAATGAACTAGAAGTCTGTTTAGTACAGTAGTTAAGGCCAATCCCTTCACCTTTAGAGGGTCAAAGATTAAAATTAGAAGTTAAGAAAGAAAAATGGGCCACAATGAAGGAAAAGCTTGAACATGAGAATTATCGAATGAACTTTGATATGGCTTTCAATAGTAATGAGCTGAAAGAGATGTAAAGAGAGAAAAAAGGTTGAATCTGAGTATGTCGGGTTGAAGGCCGACTATCAACAATTGAGTAAAAGGATTGGTAGATCAAGTAAAACATCTCAACAATTAGTTAGTGAGTTAGCAACAAAAAGGAATCGGGTTGTAAATCTAGGTATATAAATCGAACATCTAACTCGAGAATTGAAAGCTGAAAATAGAAACTGGAGAGTTGGAAACATACAATAGATACATGACCTTTGATCTTAAGGCTGGAAAATAAAAATATGATGAACTAAAGGTCTAAAAAAGGTATATTAATAGAGATATGAGGATAGCAAGGCATAAAGTCAAAGAACTGGAGGCTGAAAGGAATAATATGTTGCAAGAATTAAAACTTAGAAGACAAGGGATTGAGGAATTTGAAAATAAAGTAGAACATAAAAACAAAGAGATGTGGCTAGAACGAGAAGGTTGGAATCGTATGCTTGAGGGAAAAGTTTATGAAATTGATGCCTAGATTCAAATATGTGTCACAAAGAATCGAAAAATAGAATAACTTACACATAGTATGCAAGAGATGCACACAATGTATGGGGAAGAGTTAGCCCAAACTTGAACCTAAAATATTGAGCTCTGGGCTAGGGTTTCTGAACAGGAAGACTTCCCTATGCAAGGACAAGTCCAACATTGGCCAACAAATTCCATAGTTTTATGTGAAGAAAATGGATCCCTAAGAGCATGAATTAGAGAACTAGAAAAAGCTTTGCTGCAAGCTAGGGTGAAGATCTTTCATTTGGAGTAATATATTCATGATATAAACTATGGTTGGAGGATACCACTCAACATTATCCGGGGATGGATACAAATCAAGCACATGTTGGCAGATGTTGTTGAATCTATCCAAACTTATATTGATATTTTGTTGCATTGCAAATTACATTCATTTCACATTACATCACATTTATTCTTACATTTTTGCATTATCGTTTGCATGCATATTAAAAAAATGATAAACAAAGGATTGTGTAACAAAGAAGATATTGATCGATGCCATTAACCATTCTCACAACACTCATTTTCAAGGAAGAAAGATGTAAATTAAATTGAAAGAAATCGAGGATAACTTTGTCATACTATAACAAGATATAGAAAAAAAGTTGAGTTAGAACCTGATGATTACCATAGATTTAATTAATAAGAATTAGAAAGATCTGGTTGAGCAACTTATAACAAGATTGAAAGGCTTAAATCTCATTAATGTCCAAAGGGTGGGAGTTACTGAGGAGATAATGGCTCCACCACTACAGAAGTTTGTAATCACACCTGATAACTTCTAGGGATATTAGAGGATTCCACTTCCAAAAAAGGCAAGTTACGACAACCAATCTTCATGGTGATCCTAAAGATTATCCTGTTCCAAAATTAGACGAGGATGATAAATCGATGAAGATTAAAAACAAAATAAACCAGTTGGAGGAACATACGAGGGTGGTGAAAGGTGAAGCTAATATTTATGGGATCGATGCTTTAGAGCTAAGATTAATCCTAGATTTAGTTCTGACCCCAAGATCAAGGTTCTAGATTTTGATAAGTTTAACGGGAACAATTGTCATTCAATCCATATAACTATGTTTTACTAAAGATAACTAGATACACGTAAAATGACCAACTATTGATACACTATTTCTAAGAGAGTCTGACTAGAATATCCATCCACTAGTATAAATAGTTGAGCAGGGTAAATATTAAGTGATGGAAGGATTTAGCTAAATCATTCTTAGAATATTATAAACACATGAATGATATGAGGATTGATCGTGTTATGTTACATGGTATGAAGAAGAAGCCTAATGAGAAATTTAGGTAGTACGCGCAATGATGGAAGGGTATTGTCATACAAGTTCATCTACCCCTAGATGAAAAAGAAACTGAACTTTGTTTACATACCTTCAAGGCACCATACATTAGAAATTTGGTTACAATTACCTTGGGTAGCTTTGCTGATGTGGTAATGGCATGGGAGATGGTAGAGATGGCCATTAACTAGGGGAAGATCGAGGGGGAGGATCTCAGAGAAGGTCGGCCCAAAAAAGAAAAAAAGGGAGGTCCATAACTTGAGTTCTCATGGTTCTGGAAAAGGGGTCACAATCTTGAATGTGGTTATATATTCGAACCTGACTAGATAAGATTTGAGAGAACCAAGGAAAGGGAAGGAAAGGGAACAATTTAACCCTATCCCAACCACATATAAGAAATTATTCCATAATCTTTATGACACATATTATGACGAAAATTTTAAATTATAATACCATACTAGTGCTGCTAGACATACCTTTGAAAATTATCTCACTTTCAAAATATTTTTCCAAAAATTGTGAAACAAGAAATGGATTCATTTAAAAAAAATTGATGAACCCAGTGTGGCTGAGAACCCCCTACCCAACCACGAAGAAACGAAGGTTGACACTATTCTGGAAGGAGAAAGAAAGAAAACCAAGATCCTGGTCTAAGAAATGAAATCTCTCTTAGTGTAGTTATAGGAGAGGTTGGCGAAAGCAGGTTTACTCATCGATCATCTTAAGGCTAAAGAATGCAGAACTGGAAACTTTTATTGTTATTATAATATAGATCGACACATTATTCAATTATGTTTTGAATTTAGAACTCTAATGCAATGGATAATTGACGAGATGTAAATAAAGTTTTTTGACAAAGTTGATAAAGAATATGTATATATCATATGAAGCTCATCAAATGAAGGGTATTGTGCTAAACACCCTTTAGCAATCACACATAAAGAAAGGGTTGCAGAGAAGGTGACACCAACAGTGATAATCATGACCCTAAAGCCTTTCATATACAAAGATAACTGAAAAGTTCCATGGAAATATGAATGTCAGTTAGAGGCCAAAAAAAGATATCAATGAATTAGGGAACTTCAAAAGGATTTGAAGGTGTTACTCCTCAAAGCAAAACCCACCACTGAAGATAGTTGAGCCACTAGGAGAAGAGTAACCAATTAATCCCAAACAAGTGAAGGAAAATAAAGCAGTGGAGTTTTTCAAATTCCTCAAATATAGCGAGTACATCATTGTTGATCAATTACACATGTTACTTGATTGTGTATCTATGTTGTGGATGTTACTAAACTTAGAATCGCACTACGAGGCACTATTGAAGATTATGAACTAGACATTCATACCCAAAAAGAAATACATGTTTATAATTTGGATTATTTGGTTAACAATATCCAAGCTACTAATATTATCTCATTCTCTTAGAATGAGATCTCGTTTGGAAATAGGGGCAAAGCCAAGGCGTTACATATTACTGCCCACTTCAAGGAGCTCACTTAAACCAATGTCATATGGATAATGGTTTGACACTAAACATGTTTCTTTTAGTCACCCTTAAGAGGATTACCATAGATAGTTCACACATAAGAGCGTGTCAAAGCATGGTACTCATTTTTTATAGCATGAAAATGGAGGTCCTTGGCAAGATTGGCATCCTGTTAACCATCGAACTTGTTGCCTATAATGTGTAATTTCTCGTTATGGACATCATGCCTTCATAAATTTACATTTTGGGAAGGCCCTGGATTCACCAAGCTAAATCTTTACCATCGATGGTCCATCAAAAAATAAAGTTTATCCTTGATAGAACTTTGGTGGCTGTCGATATTGAAGAGGAGATAGTAGCAATGATGTCAGCTAACACACCTTATGTCGAAGTGAGTGAAGAAGCTCTGGAATGCTCATTTCGATCATTGGAATTTGTTAATGCTGGCTTTTTGGTAGAATAAAGGAGGATTTCTAAAACCCGTATGTCAAAATGTACTAAGATGAGAATCAAGCTATCTCTAGGTCGAGGGGCTATAATAGGAAAAAGCTTTGGAAAAAATCTTTAAGGGAGCATTGACCCTATTTGCACAACTATCAAACTTGATCATTTCAAGCTTGGATATCATCGAAGTCATCATATGAGAAAGAAGGAGATCCTTCAAAGCTAAGAGAAGAGAAAGGAAAGACTGGCAAGAGAGGAGGTTCAGTTGGAACCAATAGTGTTCCCCCACTTGGATATATATTTGTATCTGAGGGTTATAAATTTAAGGAAGAAATGAAAACAACATTGCCTGCTCTATAATACTGCATCAATAACCTGAGCATCAATTCAATAGTGATAGAAGATGATGGAGAAATTGATAGGTTTGGGATTCATCAACTTCCACCTTTATATGTGCTTAACAATTGGATTGACGAGGAATTACATGTACTCTTCAAAATAATTTCAAAGTAATACTCAGACATTTCTTATTTGCTCAGACTTGGGGTAATATGTGATCTTTATTAAGGGTGAATAAAATAATTATATTAATTTCAATAAAGGATACATTCCATGATTTTTCATGTGGAAAACATCTCATTTTCATTCATTTAAGTTCATTATTCATATATATTATTTCATTCTATTTTAATGTGAGATGGTTCCTCTTGTATTTATATATGTATATTCGATTGCTTTTTTTTAATGTATCTAGATATCAATAATATCAATGACGATGATCCTGACTCACAAGTGGATTTCGGGCTGACTAGATGTTTTGGGAAAGTCAATGAGTATGATAACGAAGAATGATGCGATTTTCCCCTGAATTACTGAAAATGGTGGAAAATAAAGATAAGAAGATCTTAACTCATTAAGAAATGATGAAACTTTAAATTTGCTATCTAAAGAATAGAAAATGGGGATAAAGACAGTAACAACACTATTTGCTAAGGAACGACACAATTTGATTGTGCTACTATAGGAATATAAAGATGTATTTACATGGTTATATTAGGATATCTCAGGGCATGAAACGAATATGGTGGGCCATAAACTACTGATCAAGCCTTAATGTAAAATTGTACAACAAAAACTATGATGAATGAGACTTGAAATATTGTTAAAGATAAAATAAATGAATAAGTAGTTTGATGGTGGTTTTCTCCAAATGGATAAATGTACAGAATAGGTAGCTAACATACTGCTAGTACAAAATAAGAATAGAAAAGTAAGCATATGTTTCGATTATTGAGACCTCAATAGAGCAAGCCCTAAGGATAACTTCTCCCTTTCGTACATTAATACCATGGTGGAAAACACAATCATAAACTCTCTCTTCTCATTAATGGATTGGTTATCCAGATACAACCAAATTAAAATACAAAATGAGAATATGAAGAAAACCACTTTTGTCAAGAACATAGGGGAAACATACTAAAGAGCCATGGTAACTATGTTCAATAACATGATGCATATGGAGATGGAAGTGTATGTTGATGACATGATTGTTAAAGCTCAGACAGAAGAGGAGCACATTGAAAATTTAAGAAAGCTCTTCCAAAGGTTGAGAAAGTTCCAATTAAAATTCAAACTAAATAACTGCACCTTTGGAGTAACATCCAAAAAATTGCTAGGTTTCATTGTCATAAAAAAGAATATAGATTGATCCGAACAAAGTCAAGGCTATTCAGAACTTACCACCCCCAACAAAACAAAGTTTGAGGATTTCTGGGTAGACTAAATTACATTGTCTATTTCATTTCACATCTAATTAATAAATGGGACCCTATCTTTTAACTACTCTAAAAGAATAATACAAGAATACAGGGGGACGACAACCAATAGGCCTTTGAGAAAGTGAGGTATTATCTATCCAACACCCCCATCTTAATGTCACAAATCCTACTAAAACCTTTTTTCTCTACATATACATTCTTGAGAATTTAATGGGATGTGTGTTGGGGCAAAATGAAGAAAAAAGAAAAAGGAAATGGCCATATACCACCTCAATAA